TATGTCTCTTGGCTCACAAATTGGTAGACAATGTGATATATAATATATATACAATTTTCGTATCACAGTTTTTGTTACCATAATCCTCCGATACGGCTATACCGATTCAATTTTGTGAGCGTATTGAGTAGGTATGAGAATTCGCCAATATCTCTTTTTCATCCTCTTAAATTCTGTTCGACATACCAAAAATCGCATATAAAGTGAGTTACTACCTCATCACACAGACAAACTCATTTTAAATAAAATGAGTAACCATAGCATTTTAACTAAATTTAAACTGGGGCAAAAATCCTTCATCATTAGGTAAATACATTAATACATTATAAGTATTTTGTACAGTGAGCACTGCCAAGAAAACGCAAAAGGGGTGATTTGAGCCGTGATACAATTAGATCTCGAAACTTGCGAAATAGAGAATGCGAAAGAACCGAAGAACAATGTGTTAGTATAGCGCAATCGGGTAATCGAACTACCGAACTGAGCGGACGTGCTTTGTCCGAGCTCCGGGAAAACTTCACTTCGCTTATATTTTCGCCAATATAAGCGAAAAGACATTGAAATACAATTTATTCAAAGCGACAGACAAGCTTTTTATAACAGTTGTAATGTGCTAAACCAAAACTAGTGCATTGTTGATAAAAAAAAAAATACGTACCACGCAATGAGCTCATTGAGCAACGACCAAAAGAACGAGCGTAGAAGTTCAGTGAACCAAAGAAACGGCTTCTACTCTTACTTTTCAACCCGCGATACCGAAGTGGAAAAATCGGCGATTATAAGCAACTCGGCTTTACTGACCGCTGAAACCCAAAGGGCACAGTCTTGCTCACCCGCTCTGCTCACTCAGACTGGAATGGATCGCTACATCCAAATTAAGCGCAAGCTTAGCCCGCAGAGTAATCCGGCAGGCAACAAAACAAAAATTAACCGTGTCCTGAATAACGATAATGAACCAGACAGATCCACTACTAACAGATTTTCCCTACTGGCGGAGGCTGAGGAAAACCAACCAGCCCAAGACACCGCAAAAAAACCCAAGCCCCCTCCAATCTATATTAGGGAAAAAAGCTCGAGTGCCCTGGTCAACAAAATTGCGTCGTTGATCGGGAACGGTGACAACTTTCATGTTGTTCCGCTTATCAAAGGGAACATCCATGAAACAAAGGTGCAAACCAAGACTGAAGAGCACTTCCGAATAGTGTCAAAATATCTGGACACTGTACAGAAAAACTATTACACGTACCAGCTGAAAAGCAGTAAGGGCCTACAAGTGGTAGTAAAGGGAATAGAACCTGATGTTACCGCCGCGGAAATAAAAACCGCCCTTAAAGAAAAGGGCTTCGCCGCCAAGAATGTTATTAACATTCTAAATAAAGATAAAAAGCCACAACCCCTCTTCAAGGTCGAGCTCGAGCCAGAAAGCAGGTCGCTGAAGAAGAACGAAGTCCACCCAATCTACAACCTGCAATATCTTTTGCATCGGAAAATCACTGTTGAAGAGCCACATAAACGTAACGGTCCAGTGCAATGCACTAATTGTCAAGAGTATGGACACACAAGGTCTTACTGCACACTTCGGGCTGTCTGTGTAGTCTGCGGGGACGCCCACAAGTCCGCTTGCTGCACTACAAACAAGGACAGTACCGTGAAAAAATGTGGAAACTGCGGAGGCAGCCATACGGCAAACTATAGAGGATGTATTGTGTATAAGGAGTTAAAGAGTCGCATGCGTCAAGCGACCGCAACGCGCAACCAAAATCCACAGAATGCGTACGTTTCGTCAAAAACTACGCCAGACGTCTTCTTCGCCAAAGCTGCGAGATCCTCATTCGGTCCACTAAACACCACCAACGGCTTCTCCTATGCCGATGCTCTACGATCTGGAAGGGAAATTCCAATTCAGCCGAACTCTCAAAGCGCTCAACAGGCCCCAGAACAGCCACACAGCAAAACGGAAACTATGATGCTTACCCTCCAACAAAGTATGATGGAGCTTATGTCATTCATGAAAACGACCATGCAAACGCTTGTTCAAAACCAGAACATGGTGATACAGCTGCTCGTAGCACAACAGTCCAAATAATCTATGCAGGCGCTACGAATATCAATGTGGAACGCTAATGGTGTCTCACGGCATAAACTAGAATTGTCACAATTCTTGACCGAAAACCATATTGACGTTATGCTACTGGTGGAAACGCATCTTACAAGCAAATACAACTTTCATATAAGAGGCTACACAATCTACCGCACAGATCATCCAGATGGGAAAGCCCACGGCGGAACTGGAGTTCTAATCAGAGAACGAATTAAACACCATTTTCACAAAAGGTTTGCAACAAACTTCTTGCAGGCCACATCGATACAAATTCAGTCAAGCAACGGAATCCTTTCAATTGCTGCCGTTTACTGCCCTCCTCGCTTCTCAATCTCGGAAGGACAATTTATGGACTTCTACAATTCACTTGGGGATCGATTTATAGCCGCAGGAGACTACAACGCCAAACATACGCACTGGGGATCACGTCTCGTGACTCCCAATGGAAGACAATTGTACAATGCAATTATAAATGTGAAAAATAAACTGGACTACGTTTCCCCTGGAAGTCCCACATACTGGCCAACAGACTCACGAAAGCTCCCAGACCTTATTGATTTTGCAGTGACAAAAACATACCTCGCAATCTAATAAGTGCCAAAGCAGTCTCGGACTTATCATCAGACCACTCGCCTGTGCTTCTAACGCTTTTTCAAAGCCCAGAAATAACCGAACACCCCTTCAGCATGACAATGCGAAAACCGAATTGGCTTAAATACAAAAAGTACGTGAGTGCCCACATAGAACTCGCCCCGGAATTTAACATGGAATCGGACATCGACTACACTACGAGAGCCCTGGAAGAAGTACTCGTTGCGGCAGCTAAAATCTCTACTCCTCATAGGAAAGATGTAGACCGAAACAAACACTTCAAATCTAATCAGCAAATCGAACAGCTCGTGCGAGAAAAGAGGCGCACGCGTCGTGATTGGCAAAACAGCAGATCACCAGCTTCAAAACAACGCCTTAAGGAAGCAACCCGATCACTCGACCAGGCTCTTCACCAACAGGAAGAAAATGCACAGCTGAGGTACATCCAGAATCTCTCGCCAACAAGCACAAAGTACCCCCTGTGGAGGGCCCACCCAAATCTTAGTGCCCCAATTGAAACGACCTCCCCGATAAGAAACTCTTCGGGATGCTGGGCTCGCAGCGACGAAGACCGAGCTGAAACATTCGCCACACATCTCCAAAGTGTCTTCCAGCCAAACCCAGCCTCAAATTCATTCCTCCTGCCAGAAATTCAGCCAGAGTCCTCCCCTCAGCCAGCCGCACCTCCATTCCGGCCGAACGAAATCGAAAAAGTCATAAAAGAGCTAAATCCAAAAAAGGCTCCCGGTGGTGACCTATTGACCCCAAAGATGCTGATCGAACTTCCAAAATGCGCTATAGAGGTCGTCTGCAAACTATTTAATGGAATCATTAATCTTGGCTATTTCCCAAAAAAGTGGAAGAAATCCATTATTATAATGATACCGAAGCCTGGAAAAGACCACACAATTCCGTCATCATACAGACCAATTAGCCTTCTATCTTGTTTGTCTTAACTGTTTGAAAAATGCTTGTTAACTCGCATAATACCACATCTGGAAGCTTGCAATATCATCCCGGCACACCAATTTGGCTTTCGAAGAAACCATGGAACCATCGAACAAGTGAACAGATTAACGTCCGAAATACGCTCAGCCTTCGAACAACTGCAGCGCTATTTTCCTCGACGTATCTCAAGCTTTCGACCGAGTTTGGCTCATCGGACTCATGCACAAAATTAAAACGTATTTGCCAACAGACACCCACAAGCTACTGGAATCATACCTCTTCAATAGGGTATTCTCAGTGAGATGCAACGCAGCTACTTCGGGCGACTACACCATCGAAGCTGGAGTTCCACAGGGAAGCGCACTCGGGCCGTGTCTATATGTTTTGTATACTGCGGATATTCCTACGAGCGCACAACTAACAACGTCAACGTTCGCCGATGATACCGCTATTCTTAGTCGCTCCAGATGCCCAACGCAGGCAACAACCCAACTGGCTAATCATCTCACAATAGTGGAAAGGTGGCTGTCCGACTGGCGCATTAAAATAAACGAACAAAAGTGTAAACATATAACGTTTACGCTTAATAGACAAACATGCCCTCCGCTTTTACTAAACGGTATGCAGATCCCTCAAGCTAACGACGTAACGTACCTTGGCGTTCACCTTGATAGACGACTTACCTGGCGTAAGCACATCGAATGCAAAAAGATGCATCTAAAACTGAAAGCCAGCAGCATCCACTGGATCATAAACTCACGATCGCCACTGTGCCTGGACTACAAGTTACTACTGTACAATTCAGTCCTAAAGCCAATCTGGACGTATGGCTCCCAGCTGTGGGGGAACGCGAGCAGCATCAACATAGACATCATACATCTATGTATCATCATTTTTATTTCATCATTTTTAGGGCCGTCTAACAATCAAAAATCCTGAGAACTATCACAGGGGCACCTTGGTATGTTCGCAACGAAAACATCCACCGGGATCTGGGCATCCTCGCAGTGAAAGACGAAATCCAGAAGCAAAAAGAGTCATACAAAGAAAAACTGTCTTCGCACCCAAATTTTCTCGCTCGGGGATTGACTCGGGTTTCTAGCGTATCCCGCCTTAGACGCAACGACCTCCCAACCCAGCAATCGATTTTTAGGGCCGTCTAACTCCGTATCAGTCAATATGACTGTAAGTTAAGTTAAAAATATAAGATTTGATACACCTCTTGTTAGTCTCGCAAAGAGAAGATTCAAGAAATAAAAGCAACGTTCAAAAAACAAGTAAAAATATAAGTAAAAATAAAGTGATTTATTTAACGTAGAAGATATTTATGGGTATCTTTTAAAAAGGTTCCTCAACATACCTTGGTTCTCCCTCTATTGAAACCACTCTCTTCGTGAGGTCGCGGTCTTTGTCCAGGCTGTAAATAAAAACAAAGAGTAAATAAAATTCAAATCTTTTCATTAAGCGAGGTTAAATATGTCATTGTTAATTTAACTAGTGGAAAAGTCGATATTTTAATGTAGATTTTTAAAATTATATCATCGTAAGAAAAGTATAGGAATCATAAAGAACAATAAAGGAATGCTAACTTCGGTTGGAGCCGAGGTTGATATACCCTTGCAGGATAAAATTGACCGGTTCTTATGGAAATATCAAAATATAACCAATTTATTACATCATCAATATAAAACAAGAAAGGAAAGCTAACTTCGGGCGGAGCCGAAGTTTATATACCCTTGCAGTTAAAACCGGATATATATCGCAAACATCGGATATAGTTGGCCGATCCTTATGGAAATAGGAAAATATAATCCAATTTATTACAATACAAAATCTAAAAAAAGTCCCAAACTTCTATCTTCAAAAATACGAAAGTTGATATTTCTACCAAATACCATTTCCGATCGTTCAGTTATATGGCAGCTATGGGATATAGTCGACCGATCCTAATGAAATTTGGTAGGTTGGGTCAACTGACCAAAAATAGAATCTGTATTAAATTCCAGCTTTCTATCTTCAAAAACACGAAAGTTGGGTCATTTCCGATCGTTCAGTTATATGGCAGCTATAGGATATAGTCGTCCGATCCTTATGAAATTTGGCATGTCGTATTGTTTTGCTAAAAATAGCTCTCGTGTCAAATTTGAACTCTCTAACTCTAAAAACACCAAAGTTATACCATTTCCGATCAATCAGTTATATGGCAGCTATAGGATATAGTCGGCCGATCCCGGTCGTTCCGACTTATATACTGCGTGCAAAGGAAAGAAGGGTGTGTGCAAAGTTTCAAGTCGATAGCTTTAAAACTGAGAGACTAGTTCGCGTAGAAACAGACAGACAGACGGACAGACGGACAGACGGACAGACGGACATGCTCATATCAACTCAGGAGGTGATCCTGATCAAGAATATATATACTTTATAGGGTCGGAGATGTCTCCTTCACTGCGTTGCACACTTTTGGACAAAATTATAATACCCTCTGCAAGGGTATAAAAAAGTCCCAAGCTTCGATCTTTTATTTAAAAAATACCAAAGTTGGTACCAATTTTTACCAAATACCATTTCCGATCGTTCAGTTATATGTCAGCTGAACGGCATATACAAGATATAGTCGAACGATCGTTATAAAATCTTATGGGCTGGATCAACTGAGCAAAAATAGAAATTTTACGAAGTTGCAACTTTCTGACCCAAAAAACGAAAGTTTGGTCATTTCCAATTGTTCAGTTATATTGCAGCTCGGTCGACTCGGTCGATTTTATCTTATATATGGCGTTGAGCTGCCATTTCGTTACAAATACTAATGCATTAAATTCACATCAATGTATTGAATGCCGACCACTGCCATAGAAGGAAGAAGATGGATGAAAAAGCAATAATGAGGTACATGGTGCGTTACGATGGTATTGAAAGATTTCACAAATATTTACTAGAGACGCATAAACTAGTTGAGTCAAAAGACGTTTAATTTAAAAAAAATTCAGTAATAAAGCATACATTTACCTTACCTAGATTCAGTATCCAAGGACGTCAAAAATTATATGACAGTAGAAAAAATTAGCATCAAAGAGAAGGCGAAGATACAACCGAAACGGTTGAAAAAAATGTTATAAATTCAGTAAAGGAATTGTTCAAATTTAGAAGAAATTTGGCAGCAGCCGAAAAATTGTGCTGCAGAGTCTAGAGGAAATGACCATGAAGCTATCGCACTAATATCCCAATGGAAGTATTGAGAAATACATAGCTTGTTTGATAATTAAAAGGCTCGACCAGGGACAAGAACTTGATTTCGATCAATGTTGAGCGTTTCATTCAAGAATGATATTTTTTTGGTTGATCTTGGCGACAAACTCGCATCAGCAACAGATACTCAAGACCTAGGCGAATTTTTATACGAGTTAAAATCAGAAATCAAAAACGCCACAATCAAAGCTGAGCGTTTCTTAGGACTGGAAATCAAGACAAAGGAAAACGGACTTCATTAGTCAAGAGCAGTCAAAAAGAATATGACGAAAGGATTTTGGAGCGATTCGAGCTCGCTGTTTCAACCTCACTTGTTAAGAATACAGAACGTTGGCAGCAGGGAAAGTTGACGGGTTGACTCCAGAAGTTGAAAGTTGACTCCGAGAAAAACGGAGTTGACGGGTTTTCCTTATCGTCATTTGAGCTGTCATTAGAGGTGCGAAAACATCGATGAAAACATCGACGCACCGATGTTTTTCAAATTTTCAAAAACATCGATGTATCTCTTTGAACATCGGTGTTTCTGTAACGTCACTTTCAAGCGGAAATCCTAAGGAGAAGTACATTTGTGCGAGTCAGAAAGGGCCTTTAGAAAATCTGGGCAAATAATTTTTGACCGCAGGACTTGCCTGAAGCCCGATATTGTTGATACACTTATGTTTATTAACAAAAACCACAATTGTTTGACTGTTGACCATTCACCAATGTCCATTTTTAAGATTGTTTTGATCTCTAATTATTTGTATTTTAAGTTAGTGCGTGAAGCACAATACATATTTTGTTTTTTATTTTTCATACAACCATGAGTGTGTATTTCAATCATTTTAAAAATTTTTACCTACATTTTTAAAAACATCGATGATTAAAAACATCGATGTGTCCAAACATAGGTTTTTGGTTACATTTCCGGAACAGTTCATGTTAAATCATTGACATAATTAATGACGTTCCAAAAATGCTGCTATATGAAGTTGGCATGAATTTTTTATCAAAGGACCGCGAATATAGCCATCAAACAATGTGTTCTGCTGTGTTCTCGTTTAGTTCTATTTTAGACTGCTTTTTTGTATGCGAAGCTTACTGAGTTGCCAGATTCTTTAAGTACAACATAGGTGTATAGAAGGGAGGAATACAAAACAGACGTGAGATTGACAATATATAACACATCTCCTCCTTTAATTAAGAACGAATAGGATTTGTAGGTTTTCGGAAATCCTTGGGCTTCAAACGATCTACTTTATGGCGAACACGACTACTTTGGCGAACTGGTATGACGGATGAAAGTCGTGCTGGTTGTTTTTGCCTTGGTTTTTGGTTCGATGATGTGGAGCTCTCGGGTGGCTCAGGTTCAGAATGACGTCGCTGAACGGTTGACGGAGTTACCGGTTCATCTGCTTGTTGTTGTAGTGGTTGATCTTGTTGTTGTAGTGGTTGATTTTTTCGATGGTGCTGCTTGCTGGGAACTTCGGTTTTATCTGGTTGAAATGGCGCTTGATATAACCATTTGTGGTGCGAACCATGAAAAGCATTTTTCCAATTGGACGGTCAATAGAGCCTTCAATCCACTCCCCTGTCCCACTTTCTCCCCTTGCATAATTACGAGCGTAGACTATTTGATTTGGGACGTACTTGGTCACCGATTGCTTGCCGTCGACAAGCAGCTCGAAAAGTTGACTTAGGACTTTGAGGTTTTTCTTGACTGAGAATTTGAACGTCTGAACGAAACGCTCTGCTAATCCATTGGATGCTGGGTGGAACAGTGCTGTGGTTATGTGTTTTATTCCATGACGTTTGCAGAATTCCTCAAAGGCGTCAGCAGAAAGCTGCGGACCGTTGTCGCTGACCATGGTTTTTGAATATCCTTTGATGGCGAATATCGATGATAGTGCAGCGATCGTGTTAACCGGTTGTAGTGGACGCCATTTGAACTACAAATGGGAACTGCTAGTAAGTGTCTACACAGATTAGCCACATGGAATCGAATATTGGGCCGGCGAAGTCGATATGGATTCGCTCCCACGCTGTTGTTGCTGCCGGCCAACTTTGGTACTTTTTGGAGGAGCAGGATTGTTGCACTGGCAGATGCTGCATGACTGAGTAAGGCCATGAGAATGATGGCCCAGCGCTGTAGCCTGTTTGACGTCATTAAAGTGTAACGGATCTACTAACAGGCTCCGGCCGTGCTCAGGGAAAGTGGGAGTGGTTCTTGTACCTTCAGTAGGGACATGGTCGTCACGCGAATCGTCGTAGATCGAATCGTAGAAAAGGGACTGGGAGAAGGATTCCCAAATAGCATTGTGAGGGGGATAACAAAAAAAAAAATTTCTTGGCTAAGAGATATGTTCGATGTGGCTAAATGTTGTTGAACTACCTAGGTGGCGAGATTCTTCCGGTGCCCAAACAAAAGATCTAGTACAAATTCATTTTAGTTAACGTTATAATTCATGTAAATCTCATATAAAAATAATTAACATAATTAAGTGTTCATGTTTTACAGGAAGGTGGTTTTCATTAACCATAAGAATAAAAAAAGATATCCAAATTATAATAATTCAAGGGTGATGCTTAAAGATAATAATTCAAATTTGGTGCTTAAGTATAAGAATAATAATCGCTTAAGAATAATAATTTAGGAAGTATTAAAATTTTTATTTGATATTAAATGACAGTATTAAATGATTCAAAAATTGATAATTTTAATTTTAATTGAATTTGCTTAGAAATAATAATTCAAGGCGTATTCAACAAACGGTATAAAAATTTATAATTATGGATTTTTAAGTTTTTTTTTCTTTTTCATTTGCTAAACTATTTGTTAGGGTATTTGAATTTCATGGTTTCTTTGTTTCTTGTATTTGTTCATGGTTTCATGGTACAAATATTGGTGTAAACGTTTCACTCCGAATATTATAGAACGTCCCTCTTTTTCGGTTTGGCTGTTAACCTGAGTTAACCTGATGCTTGTCAAGCGTTTTGGATGCGAAAACAATAGGCCTCTTCTTGCCATCTTGTTTGGTATGCGAAAGGACTACACAAATACCAAAATATGATGCATCCGTCGCTAGGACTAGTGGTAGGTTTTCATCGAAATGAGCTAGCTGAGTCGTGTTGATAAAATGGGACTTCAGGGCTGTAGTTCTTGTTGTTGTTGCGGCCCGAAAAGGAATGCTT